GACCAGTGCGCATACATGGCAGTAAAATTTATAAGTAAATCTCAATACACCTGATGGAAAGTGCATAGCAGAATTATTTCTCTCTGTCTTTCTAAGTTTTACTTCTTTCTAGATATTTTTTAACTTCTATTTCCTGGTAGACTGGGTAGTCCGCTCTTGTTCCCGAAAGCTGTTTCCCCTAGGGCTAAGATTAGAAACTAAATTACCATGATAGTTTTGTTGCCCTGCCCCTAGCCAGGTAGAACGTTTTCTTTTGTTTCGTTAATTACCGAAACTCTGTCTGCTTCAGCCCATGGCCGCCATCTTGGAAAACCTGCATTTCCTTGTTCAAGAGTGTGACAGCTACTATTTGATTTTTAGAGTAGACTTGTTGGGATAAAATATATACATATACACTCATAGCTGCGTAAATCTATGCTTGCTGTTTTGTTTCCTTTTGCTACATTATTCAAGTGTAATAGTTACTATACGATTTATAAAAGAATTAACGATAAGGTATTAGCTTAATAGGATATAGCATAGTATTAAAGTCCAATAACTAGATCATATGAAAATTAAAGTTTAGACATATGAAACATATGAATTATAGTAAAGTTTGGTAGTTTAAGAATAAGTTTTAACTGAGTTATAAGGCATTACGTTAAATCGTAATAGGATAATAGTATAACTGACAGTTAAGTCATTTAACTAAACTTATAGATTATAGTATAGTGTTAAGTTGATAATATTAATTGTTAAAAATATTGGGAATCAGTGAACTTGGATTGAACCTAGAGTTAACTCAGGAAAGTTTTTTGTATTAATCAGGGTATAGAGCAAAGAGTATAATATGAATGATTCATTGAACATTATGGAAAACACTTTGAACGATTTGTATTGAAATTGTGCACCTGTGACCTTAATGTAAGCACGGCATCATGGAATTCGAATTGTTTGCTTGGAAATTGCAGATCTCGTGGTGGTCTTGTGATGCATAGTTTGTAAAGCACGAAACTTGTACGCCCCCAGTGAGTGATTATCACATTGCTGGAGGGTATAGAAAATGGTATATAAGTTGGAAAAGGTTTGAATAAAATCGGCTCCAGTCCTGATCAGACTGTTCCCAGAAGAACTGCCTCCGAGTGGTCTTCTCGCTGTCCAGATTCTCTGGTGCGGGTCCTAACCCACCCTTGGTCAGTGCTGGTCACCGACACAGTGCGGTTTAAGAATAGAAAGGAAGGGAGGGAGTGAAGCAGGAGGACATTCAATGAACACGCATTTCTTATGCATAATGTCTCTAACGTCTTATTTTTTCCTTATACCCCCTGCAGCAATCACTCAAACACATTTATCACATATGGTCACGTCACTAGATTCTAAAAAATACTGTTGATCTGCTGGTTCACCATCTAGCGAAGGTGCACTATTGGATACCATTTACTTATTCTCTGTGCACTTACTCTCTTACGCATTATACTGGGAGCCAAATAGCTACTAGAAAGATTGTTCCTAGCTGGCCCAGTGGCTCAGCCTGTAATCCCAGCACTTTGGGAAGCCGAGGCAGTGAATTGCCTAAGTCCACGGGTTGGAGACCCACCTGGGCAACTTGGCAAGACCTCGTCTCTACAATAAATCAAAAACTAGCCAGGCGTGGTAGCACGCACCTGTAGTTCCAGCTACTTGAAAGGTTGAGACAGAAGGATCGCTGGAGCCCAGCAGGTCGAGGCTGCGGTGGACGGGAGCGTGCCACTGCACTCCAATCTGGGTGACAGAGCAAGACTCCTACTGAAAAAAAGAAAGAGACCGTTCCTCCTCTACCTTTTTCTCCATAGTACATGTGATCCTCCAAGGCTTCACCACACAAGGTGTATAAAATCTTCTTATACAGTTCTTTCTATCCTAACCAGAAGAAAGTAATAAATTTATACCTAGTCTAGTGATCCCCAGTATCTGCTATAATTCTTACCAATATTTCTAGTAAAGTTTGGCATTGCTAAACTTACTACATGGTTGATTATCACAATTTTAGCATATAATTATCAATCTTGAATATTCCAATCATAAACTCATATAACAACAGAGTGAAAGTAACAAATTTTTTCAATGTCTGCAGATAGAAGAGAAATGAAAAGGATCACATGCACAGATTTCTGATGTAGATTTTCAGAATTTGTGATATGAAAAGAATAGGAACTACTTTTTATATCCATGAAAAAGCCTTTAATGAATTTTCGATCTTCATTCTTATTTTTTTTTTTTTTTTTTTTGAGTTGGAGTCTCACTCTGTCGCCCAGACTGGAGTGCAGTGGCCACTCCCGGCCACCACAGCCTCTACCTGCTGGGCTCTGGCGATCCTTCCGCCTCAGCCTTCCAATTAGCTGGAACTACAGGAGCTCGCTACCACACCCAGCTAATTTTTTTGATTTATTGTAGAGATGAGGTCTCGCTGCCTAGGTGGGTCTCGAACCCGCGGGCTCAGGCAATTCACTCACCTCGGCCTCCCAAAGAGAGGGATTACAGGCTGAGCCACCGAGCCTGGCTTGTACTATTCTTAAATACTGGCAGTGCTAAAAAAAAATGTATACACATTTTGAGAGATGTTATCCATATACTACTTTTTGAAGTTCTTTTCAGGAGAGTCTGGACACTGATGGTAACCCCTTTGAGCAACACTTGTAATTGCAGAAGTCAAACATGACTTATATTCATCTTTTGTTAATGGTATATATTTTTCCCTTCTTAAAAATGTGTACACATGTTTTGGCACCCTCTGTAGTTGCCTGAACTAACATCATCATAATGGTTTTCTCAGTCCTTCACACTTCTTATCAGTCTCTTAATGTTGAGTAATAATTTCTCATAATCTTTCCTAAACAGAGGTATTTATTCTAAGACAAAATATTTTGTCACACGAACAGCACAATTAGAGGGAGAAAAAGAAATTCTAAGAAAATAGGCTTTGAATGACCACTCAACAAGGAGACAAACTTGCAGGTAAGAACGTGAGAAACTCTTCTCTGGTATTCTTGGTTGATTGACAGACGAAATGATAAATGAAAACCAAGCTTCTCCTAAGCCATGTCATAACTCACATAGTCAACTCCCCTTGATGTAGTCAACATCAAGGCAAGTCCTTGAGGAACTGATTATTATCTGATAAGAACAGATGAACAAATTCATTCTACAATGAGCAAAAAGCTCCTAAAACGAAGTTTATCAGACATGGGGCACATCAGGATTGACAGAATTATATAGAAGTACCTGGGTATACTAAGTCCATCTTTGCCTCATTTGCCATTACAAAAACAAGAGATCTTTAAAAACACTGTAGAATGGGATCTTGAGTCTCTAAAAGTTCCACTGCCATGGGAGGTTTGTATTCAGCTCCCCCTGCAGTCTCAGGCACTGTGGCACTAATAGCACAGAAGTACTCAGCCGCGTCACTCCAATGCACAGAGGGTTTCCTCAGGTTAAAGGAAGATTGACTCTTCTCAAAGTCAGCCACAAAGCCTTTAATGCCTTGAACCTGGGAGTCCCCTGAATAGTACTCCAGGAGAAGCTGGAGGCCTTGGCCGGGATACTGAACATACCAGAAGAGATAAGGTGTTATAACATAGGAATAGTTGCATCTTAGCTCCACAGAGGCTTCTTCAGAGACAGTGATGTGTACATCAGGCTGGGTCACAGATTGGGCTCTGGTATCTCCTGGAAAATCAATATTATATTAGTGAAAGCAGTGCACACTATTTTCAGCATTTTTAAAAACCTATGCATTTCTAGACAGAATCTGTGGAACTAGAGACCATAAAGAAATTTTACTCACTCAGGGCAAAATGTATCCCCAGTAGAGAGATGAGCACGAAGAGCATGACTGAACAATGAAAATGATGCAGGCTCTTCTCTGGAATGTCCTCTGAGAAGATAAGAAAAGTCACTAGAGATACGAAGACCTTGGAAATAAGAGGTGTAAGGAAGGTTCGCCTGTACAAGCTCCTTGCTTAGACAAAAATACAAAAACTTCCTGAGTTGCTTTTAAAACTCTGATTCTTCTCCCTTGTCTACAAAGAACTCAGCCAGCTGCAAGGAGTAACTGAGTAGTTGATGGTGATCTACAACAAAAACAACATCTCTAGTCTGTGCAGCATCACCCTCTAGAGGTTAGGTGCAGCACCAGCATTTAGCACGGAGAGCCCATTCATGATTTCCTTCTATTTTCTACAATTTATCAAAACTTCTGCACACCTGTAGTCTCAGCAACTCGAGAGGCTGAGGCAAAAGGATTGCCTGAACTCAACAGATTGAGGCTGAGATGAGCTGTGCTCGTGCCACTGCACTCCAGCCTAGTCAAAAGAGTGAGATTCTGGCTCAAAAAACAATCAAATTTCCACAAACATTTTTTCCTTCCAAAATATATGATAATGTATTATTCCTAGAATCCTTTAGAAATGAAATATCAATCAGCCGGGCGTGGTAGTGCATGCCTGTAATTCCGGCTACTTGGAAGGCTGAGGCGGAAGGATCGCCGGAGCCCAGCAGACAAGGCTGCGGTGGCCGGGAGCGGCCACTGCACTCCAGTCTGGGCGACCAAGTGAGACTCCAACTCAAAAAAAAAAAAAAAATGAAATATCATGTAAAAATAAAGTAGTAAGTTACCTAACTGAAAAAAAACAGTTTTTAAAAAGCATATTAGATTTAAAAATTTTTTTTATTTTAAATATGGGGGGTATCCTTGTTGATGAGGTGTGCCCCCCCTCACCCCTTCCCCTGGCAGTTTCCCACTACTACCAATCCCTTTCTTATAGTATTACGATAGTTGTTAGTATATCAAAATTTAAATGTACCTCTGTGAATGTCTTTGAATTCTCAGGATTTCCTCAGGCTGAGTTTTGGATGGTCTAGTGTTGCCGTGGTGTTGATAGAAAATGGTAAAGATGATTCCTTGGGATGTTGTTTGTGCAGCCTTAGAGGGAAAACATAAGGCCATTAGTGCCTCTAAGAGACTAATGACAAGATGTAACTCTGGATAGGAAGAATTTTCCTCTAGGGCTAAAGGAAATACAACTACAGGAACCTCTGGGGTGAAAGAAATACAACCACACCAAGAGATTATTTCACCAGCTCTGAAAAAAATAAGAATTGAAAAATTTGCTCCTTTCTCTGTGGCAAATGGGGCCCTTTGACAAAGTCAGAATGCATCTTTTCTTTGATTTCTAGAGCATGAGTCCAATCCTCTCATCAGGTTCTAAATTCACTTGCTCCTGCCTGGAGATATTGTCGTTAATGAAGAAAGCTTAGTAATGTTGTCACTTTGTAAATGTGTGGCCATTGAGTACCACTTCTGATTCCTAAGGCCATACTCACCTCCCATCTCTCCCAATTTTTTCCCTGACTCAAAGAATAGAAATATAAATAGGAATAAACCAAAATCCACAAGAGTTTAAAAAAATAAAGATAATCTGTAGAGGAGACAGATTCACACACTTATTGAAGACACAAAGCAGGTGAGATAATACTGAAGATTAAAGTTAAGGTAGAAAAAACAAAATAAAAAATAAGCTCTGAGGAGAAATTCCTGCTGACTTTTACTTTGGTGGTAATTTTATCTTTTCTCAAAGTTTTTGGGCATTGGCAAATCCTAGTGTGTTCAAGGTCAAAGGCCACAGAATTGTGTGATACCTTGGAACAGGTATGTGATGCCTTTGCACTGGAAAAATGCAAAGGAAGCAACATCTCACAGTTGAAGAAGAACAAAATGAGAAATAGAATAATCTTATATGAAGATGTAGGCAGCATTCTAAGAAATACATTGATTTCCAGGAGGACTATAAAGAGTCCAAAATACCAAAATACCAAAATGCATGGTCCATTACAATCAAGCAAAAATTCAAAGATCAAAAAAAAAAAGAGAGAGGAAAAGAATATTAAAAACAAAACAGCTGAGTTTTAGGTACTGAAAAAAAAACATAATGTTTGAATAGTTTATCCATGCCTTATCTTTTGAGGTCCATCTATGGTTTTGCAGAATCCAGAAATTTTTAGATTTTAGAAAAAATTGTAGTACTTGAAGCATGAATAAATACAAGTATACAGGTCCCTTTTTTTTAATGCTAGAGAAAAATCTTCATGAGTTTGGAGAATGAGAGGTGAAAGATAAAAATATTCAAGACCTTAGATGATTTTTTAAAAAATTTTTAATTTTTAAGATGTGTCATACAATTCAGGGTTAGGTATACAAATGCTCATTATGCAGGTACCCTTGTTAGTGAGGTGTGCCCCCTCTGGCAGTTTCCCGCCCCCTCTCCCCTGGAAGTTTCCAACTACTGCCAATCCCTTTCTTGTAGTATTATGATAATTGTTTGAGGTCTGCTTATGGGTGAGAGCATGTGGTACTCAGTTATTTGTTTCTGTGAAAGATCACTCAGTATTATAGACTCGAAGTTCGTCCAAGTTGCTGCAAAGTTCATAATTTGGTGCTTCTTCAGGACTGTGTAATATTCCATCATGTATATTACCACATTTTTTATCCAGTCCTTTTTCAATGGGCAGCATAGTTCCATTGTTAGTTCCATATATATAATGCTGCAATAAACATGAGTGTACAGGTATCTGTTTTACAGAGTGATTTGAGTTGCTCTAGGTATATTCCCAGTAAGGGGATTGCAGAGTGATGTGGAAGGCAGATTTTTAGATCTTTTAGGAATCACCAAACTGTTTTCCACAGAGGTTGTACTAGTTTACACTCCCACCAGTAGAAGTGTTCCCTTTTCCCTGCATCCTCTCCAGCATCTGTTGTTTTTTGAATTATTGATGATGGCCATCCTGACTGGAGTTAGGGGATAGCTCAGTGTAGTTTTAATTTGCATTTCTTTGATGACTAGTGAGGCTGAGTATTTTTTAATGTATCTGTTGGCTGTTCATAAGTCTTCTTTTGAGAAGTGTCTAGTCACAGTCTGGGAAAATATATTTACCAACTGTATATCTGACAAAGGTTTAACATCTAAGAACTACAAGGAACTCAAATGTGGAGAAAAGTTAGATGATTCTTATAACCTTGATTGGTAAAAAATTACAAATATAAAATATAAATTAAATTAACTAAAGATAGTGATAAAAATAGTAGCAGAAAAAGAAAATGTCAAGTAGCCATTCTTGATGGATGTTATGGAAGACCAGAAGTTAATGCAAGAACTTAAAATAAGTGATAGCTTTAAGTCACAGCCCATCTCTGTCATGGATTTCAAGTAATTAGTGGACAAAATTTAAAAAAAAAAACTGCCTGTAGATTCTAAAAATACTCCAAAACAAGTAGATTTTATAAGGGAGTCAAAAATTGGAGAAACAACTTGCACAACGGTGAGTTTCATATTGTTTTCTGTTTTTCCTCTCTTGGCTCTGAGGAGGTCCCTGATGCACAGTAGAGTGGTAATGGCATTGTATACTCTAAAACTCTGAAAGACACATCATCTTTCTGGCTTTGTGTGCTGAGCTAGAAAACAGAGATCCTAAAGAAAGAGATGGGAAACAGCTTAAGTCTCAAGATAATCCTAAAGCTCCCCATGCATAACACTAACCCAAACCAGAACAACAAAGCTTTGACTACGGAACTGAGATTTGAACCACTGTCCAAGTTTCAGACTACTCTCTGAATGGCAGGACAGACCCAAACCAGTGCAGCAGAAATTGAAATTGTTCTGAGATTTGAGCCACCCAAACAAGTTTCAGACTGATCTATGAGTTACACATAAATGAGAAGAGCCCAAAGCAACCTAGCAAATGATGAGAGAACTGAACTAAGAGATTGGCTCACTAGATTCCACAAAGGGGGAGACAAAACTAGCATGAGCCAAACTTGGTTGATTTCTTGCTAAAACAAAAGAATCAACATTCTTCAGAGGATTATTTTTTAAAGAAAAGGGAGGAGGAGATGGAGAAGAAGAAAACAGAATCTGTTCACATAATATGTATGTATGTATTTAGTCTAGGTTTCACTCTGTCATCCAGTGGCAAAATCAGGGCTCACTCCAGCCTTGACCTCTCAGGTTCAAGTGATCCCTCTCCTTCAGCTTCCCAAGTAGCTGGAATCACAGGTGCACCACCATGCCAGGCTAATTGTCTCACTTTTTGTGGAGACAAGGTCTTGCTATGCTGTCCCAGCTAGTCTCAAATTCATGGACTCAAGCAATCCACCCGCCTTTGCCTCCCAAAGTACTGGGATTACAGGCATGAGCCAATTCGCCCAGGCAGCTCTCATATTAAAAATATTTCAGACACATTCCAAAATTATTTGACATACAAAAGACCAGAAAAATTGACTATTTAAGTAAAAGTTCAGCAAATACACAGGTCAAGATGACTAAGATGCAAGACCTTAAAAAAAAGACATTAAAGTAGTTCTTTTCATTATGTTCCATTTAGTTTTAAAATGGAAATATTAGAACAGAGAAATATAATATCTGAAATAAAAATCTCACAGTAATCACTCAATAATGAAATGAAGATGACAGAGAAAAGAGTACTTACTCTTGAAAATAGATTTGTATAGGATTTTTCCTGCAAAATGGCTATGGGACAGGTTGGACTATGAGAGTCTCTGCAAAAGCAAGTGTCTATAAAGACTCTCTGCATGAACGGGTGTATACTAGTGGGTGAGTGAAAGTCCGTCTGAAGGGAGACTCGGGTTCATGCACCAAGGGCTCCCCTTTGGAGGTGACTGCAACCCCCCACCACCCTGAGACTGGCGCTGCTGGCATGCAGAACCATCTGCTGTTCTCAGAGTACTCCTGAGAAAAGGCTGCGGAATACAGCTGATCCTACCACCAGACACCTGGCTCACACTATCGCCTGTGACAGCAGTGACTGGAGCCCCGGT